ATCGCGCCGCCTTTAAAAATTTAGAGCCCACTTGGTGTGATGACGACAAACCAAAACGGGATGACAACAGAAATGACATGGTAGAAAGTAAAACTGGAAAAAACGAACATGGTAGTTTACACCATACCAAGACTGCTGGATGTGAAAATCCTAAACCGGAAGTGAGTAAAAACCAGATTTCGGATGCTCAAGCAGTAATGTTAAAAGTAAATATGCTTCAAGCGATGCAACCCGTGAAATTTGATGGCAACCCAGCGGACTTTCCTACTTTCAGAAAAAGGCTAATCGACAATCTTGAGGATGGTATTCTAAATGACAGTAAAAAAAATTGAGTTTCTCCCTAAGTTTGCGTCGGGAGAAGCATATGAAACCGTTAAAGGGGAAGTCATTGCTCGGGACAACTTAGGCTCAGATGAAAGATAATATCATTCTTACTTTACATATGAAGTTTTAAATCGCAAGGTTAAATAGAATTCAAGATATAAAGCAATAAAAACGGAACTTTTGCCATATTTGCCGCAGAAATTAAATACATGCGAGCGAACCTGCGATCTAGCAGCGGATTTACTCTGTGACGTCAATGCGCGGTTTCGCGGGAGCGCTTCATATTCAAATATAAACAAAGCTATAAAATACAGCAACATTTTACAAGCGATTTCTAAAATTTCAAAAAATGCCATATTGTATGGTTCCGGGTTGCACGAACTGCTCGAAGAAGACGAAAGGGAGCGAGGTATCGTACCATCGTTTGCCAAATGAGCCACAGTTGCGCAAAATATGGCTCAGGCGGATTCGACGCGACAACCTACCGAAAGCAAACTCATGCTATGTTTGTAGCGCGCATTTCGCCCCTGAATGTTTCGAAGGCTCTCTTAAAGAGTTATTTGGCATGAAAACAAAAAAAGCACTGAAAGCTGGAAGTGTACCATCGATATTTCCATTTGTACATCGAAAACCAGGACGGGAATCATCACAAAAAAGGGAAATAATCAGAGAGAAAATTAGAAGAGTCGAGGTACGTACTAACTACATTATTACAAGGCCTTAGCTCTTTATATGCTAATCCCAATATTTTTTTAATCCCAATAAATATTAGTAAAAATTCCCAAAATTGTAGGCAAAGTATCCTATAAAGTAAATACTGGGTTAGTTAGTCTTTCACCCCAATTTATAAATTAGTTGGTTTTACATGAAGTAGCAACCTTGTTAAACACTGAAGAAAATGATGAGTTTACTGACACAAGCACTGAACATGACACTGGTGGATTTTCAACTCGAGATGCAGAAACATATTGTGATCATATTATATTGCTTGATGCAGAAACTCAGTGTGAGAAGCCATTACAGAGGTCCATTCAGGTACAAACTCTTGCCATACGGAAGAAGAAATCCACACCCATGACACCTGCCCAGGCAAAAAACAACAGTGGCATTGTCACTCCACCTACAACACCTATTACCATTCTTGAAGCAACCGCTTCTACTGAATCGGAACAAGATGTGGAATACAGTTCAAGCAGCACAGATGAGTTTTCAGATAGTGATGATGACTATGTCTGTCCAAAACTGAACACCAGTGATGACTCTGAAGCTGAAGACCAAAAAAAAAAGAAAATTTATTGTGTTTGAGAGCATGCTAGATCAATTGTTTATTTCATGTAGAACATGTGGCTCCTTATGTGAGATTGAAAAATCTAATAAAGGTAGCATGGTGACAGTTAAAGCAACATGTTTTAACAACCATACTTACCAGTGGAATTCACAACCAGAGTTGCACAACAAGCCAGCTGGAGACATTTTGATCCCTGCTGCAACTGTAATTACTGGTGGTTCCTATGAATCGACCAAACAGTTTGCTAGTGCCCTTAATCTCAATTTTGTCAACAAACAACAGTTCTATAATGTACCAAAGGAAATTGTTTTTCCAGTAATCAAAAAAAGTTATAAGAGGCAACAGAAAGAAATTGTGGAAAGTATAAAGAAGGAGAATAATCCAATTGATTTATGTGGCGACGGTCGATCGGACAGTCCAGGTCATAGTGCTAAGTATGGCACATACACATTGATGGATGAAACTTCAGGGAAAATTGTTGATTTCTCACTTGTTCAAGTCTCTGAAGTTTCATCCTCTAATGCAATGGAGAATGAAGGGTGTCAAAGATCCATAAACAAAATAACTGGTCAAGGCATTAAAATCAGATCTTTGACAACAGATCGGCACACACAGATTACAGCAGAGATGAGAAAAAAATACCCGCAAATAGTTCACCAATATGATGTTTGGCATCTTTCAAAATGGGTGACAAAAAAATTGACAAAAAAAGCAAAAAAGAAGGGGAATGAGATCTTACTGAAATGGATTCAGTCACTGTCCAATCATCTGTGGTGGTGTGCACAGACTTGTGCTGGTGATGCTGAAGTGCTTCATGAGAAATGGGTGTCAATCTTGAACCATGTTGTAAATAAGCACAGATGGAGAAATTGCAAGCACTTTCGTAAATGTGTACATGGGCGCTTATCTAGAAACAAGGAACATAAAACCAAATGGTTGCAGGCTGGATCTGCTCCACACATAGCCTTGAAAGAGGTGGTATTAAACAAAAAACTATTAAAGGATATTGCCAAACTTACTGAGTTTCACCATACAGGTAACCTGGAAGTATACCACTCCTTGCTGCTGAAGTATGTTCCAAAACGCACCCACTTTTCATATCCGGGAATGGTAGCTAGAACACAGTTGGCGGTAATTGACCATAACTCCAACACTGGAAGAAACCATGCAACTGTTAAACAAGGGAAAAACAAGGGTGAGAAGAAATATAAGATCACATTTCCTAAAGGTCGCAAGAATTGGGTCGCAAAACCAGTGTTGGAAAATAAGGCATTTCATTTCATTCAGCACTTGATGGATGATGTGATGTTATTTCAGCAAGACCTGACGGAAAAAACACCTAGCATCATTCCAAAGAACATTGCACCAACTCCAAGGCCTGACAAAGATGATGTGATTGCAGCACATAGATCACGTATGGGGAAAACTTGAGGCAGATAACTACCATAAACAGTTGAGGTAGATACCTATCATAAGCTCTATTCGCAGCCTGCTGGTTATGATTATGGCACAATCTGAATAAAAAGCCAGCTGAATAAAAACTCAACAACTTACCATATTATTCACCTGCATGTCTAAAACCTTCAAAAACCATATCATCTTCCAACCCTGGTGGTGGGAAATGTGCTCTAATGCAGCTTACTGCACAAGAAGGAAGAGGAACCCTTATTTCTTTACCTATTATCCCAAAACACCACCGAACAAGCTGCCTGTAGGCAACATGTCTATGTTTTTTGTGTCCTGGTCCCTCATAGGCACTTGTGCCATATTGTTGTTTGTACTGATTCCAGGCAGTCTGTAGCACCCAGTAATTGAGGCACACAGCCTGGAATCCTATGTTATCAGTGATACAAGCTGGAATGGGTATATTTTCAAACTGTGCCACTTCTTCATTTTTTCCAACACATGCTGAGACCTCTTGACAGCATACACATTCCTCTTCTCTGTCCATAATCTGGCAGTTACTACAAAGACACCTGAAAGCCACAATAAATTTTTAGAGCGGTTTCATTATTTTATGGTAATTTGGGTGTATTTAAACGTTCTAAATATACGACAAACAGTATAATATTGGAACAAACAAAATGACGATTCATGATTGTATTTATAGTATATATTAAAAACGCCAACATATTGTAAATTATCAACTCATAGTTATAATTCACCACAACGATTCCTACGGTTTTTTAAAATATAGAGTAAAATTACCAGTCTTTGTCTATATCCGCGAGTCTGCTTGTTACATTTCCAGATCCCGATTGTGATGATTCATCATCAATAGCCATGTTGTCTGACTCCGAATCTGTTTCTTCAACGGGCTCAAATGCGTACGGTTGAATTATTCCTTCATGGTCTTCAACTTGGAACTCGTCCCTGTTGTCTTCTGAACCAGAACTTAATGAGTTCTCACTTGAAGATCCGTTTGAAATATCCATTTATTCTTTTGTAAAGCTTTTTCAATAGAAGCAACTTGGCGTGGACTCTCAGTTATGTTTTCAACCGCGCAGTGACGTCACGGAGTAAATCCGCTGCTAGATCGCAGGTTCGCTCGCATGTATTCAATTTCTGCGGCAAATATGGCAAAAGTTGCGTTTTTATTGCTTTATATCTTGAATTCTATTTAACCTTGCGATTTAAAACTTCGTATGTAAAGTAAGAATGATATTATCTTTCATTTGAGCCTAAGTTGTCCTGAGCAATGACTTCCCCTTTAAAAGAGTTATCGGCTGTTCTTACCCGGATATCGTCGCGATTTTGCAAGAACGATATGGCCAGCCAGCAAGAGTGGCTGCCTCTTGTATTCAGTCCTTGATATCCGGTCCAAAGTTAAGGAACACTTACTACAAAGGATTGTGTAACTTTGCTGAACAGCTCACATCGTCTGTGAAAAGACTTGATACTGAATACAAACAAGAAGCGAGCACAACATCGAATTTAAACTTGATCGCCGCCAGGCTTCCAAGCTATCTGATCAACAAATGGGGAGACGCGTCATACTCGATAAGAGAAAGTGGAAGAAAACCACAACTCAAGGATCTTGCACAATTTGTCAAAAGACAAGCGGCCATCAAGAATGATCCTGCGTTTATAGGATCCATCACTGGGAAAAACATGGATGTAAAGCCAAAATTGGGCGGATGGCGCGGACGGAAGAACGAAGACACCAAAAGAATGGGGGAAACCCTGACATACAATACCGATCTTGAGAAGAAGAGAACAGAGGAAGGTTGTGAGAAAGATAATAACAACCCGAAACCCTGGAAAACAAAATGGCCAAAATGTCCATGTTGTCCACGGTCCCATCAACTCGCCTTTTGTCCAGAATTCAATAAGAAAGATTTGAATGCAAGATGGGAAATCGTGAAGGAACAGACTATGTCATGTGTGCATGAAGGTTGGATATTTCAGAGAGACTTGTCGCAGTACCGACTCCTGTCCCTGTGATAGTCAGAGGAAACATCACGTGCTGCTCCATAACACGAGGAAAAAGGATGATAATAATAACTCTAATGACAAGAAATTAACCGAGTATACAGAGGAATGCCACAAATTACAATGTGATAAAGAAAAGAAGACCGAACAGTATGCAACAATAACAAACACGGCCTCGAAATTCGTGTTACTTCATGTAGTTCCTCTGCAAGTAATATCTCCTCAGGGAGCATCGCTGACCACATATGCTCTATTAGACAATGCCTCACGCGGAACAATGATAAGTGCAGAATTAGCAAAAGAGTTAAATCTTAAAGGAAGAAAGGAAACAATTTTGGTGAACACTTTATTACAGCAAGAACAACAAGAATTCGAAGTAGTTGAGTTTGATCTGCGACCCGCTTCATTGGAAGGAGAGAAAATTAAGGTCAAAGAGGGTCTGGTGTCCGAGAAGTTTAACATCGCTAAAAGATATTTACCAAAAGATTTCGACAGAAACCTGTATCTGCATTTGGCTGACCTTGACATACCAGATGTAACTCTTGGGAAGGTGTCGGTGTTAATTGGCAAGGACGTGGAAGAAGCACACGAAGTCATGGAGATTCGTAAATCGAAAAAGCCCGGTAGACAACTACAAGGCCAACGAGGCCCTCTGGGATGGGTCATAACAGGTACTCTAGATGGTGATTCAATGAAGAAAGACGTAAGCGTTAATTACAATGACTGTGAGAAAACATTGCGTGAACAAATTGAGAACTTCTGGAGTATCGAAGGGTATGGAACAAGAGCCACTGGACATAAAAGGACAGAAGATTACCTTCCAAACGGAAGTATGTCAAAGGGAGACGAACGTGCGCAGAAAATATTGGACGAGACGTTCAAATTGAAAGATGGTCACTATGAGACAGGGCTTCTATGGAAAGATGATAACACAATTTTGCCTGATAACAAGAAGCAGGCTGAGAAGAGACTAGAAGGCTTGAAACGACGCTTTGAAAGAGAACCCGACCTCGAAACGAAATATCGCTCGGTAATGGAGGACTATCTCGACAAAGGGTACGCACGTCGCCTTTCACCAGACGAAATCCATGAATCCGGACCAAGAAAATGGTACCGACCCCATTTCCCGGTATTAAACCCAAATAAACCAGGAAAAGTGAGAATCGTATTCGATGCCGCCGCAGAATTTGACAACACCTCGCTCAATAAGAACCTACTACAGGGACCAGACCGCACGAACAGCCTGGTTGGTGTTCTATTAAGATTTTGCCAAGAAAGCGTGGGAATAGCAGCTGATATCGAGAGTATGTTCCACCAAGTTAAGGTTTGCCCGAAAGATCAAGATTCACTGAGGTTTTTGTGGTGGCCAGACAACCTTGAAAAACCTCCGGAAGAATACGTGATGACAGTCCATATTTTTGGTGCAACTGATTCCCCTTGCGCAGCAAATTCAGCTCTGAAAAAAACAGCTGATGATAACGAGGCAGACTTTGATCCAGGAACTATAACTACCGTGAAGAAGAACTTCTATGTGGACGATCTTTTAAAGTCCCTAAATACGACTGCAGAAGCTATCCATCGAGCAGAAGAATTGATCAAATTGTGTGAGCTAGGCGGTTTCAACCTGACGAAGTTCATGAGTAATGACCGCGACGTACTGTCGTCGATTGCTGCCGAGAAACGAGCCGATCCAAATCTTGACTTCAGCTTGGGTAAACTACCTATGAAAGGGCTCTTGGCACACGCTCGAATCTCGAGTCAGATGAATTGGGATTCAAAGTATCAGAATTGAAGAAACCTGACACAATGAGAGGAGTTCTGTCCACAATATGCACTATTTTCGACCCTTTAAATCTCACTGCACCAATAATGTTAGTGGCAAAGAAGTTATTGCAGGATTTGTGGAGAAAGAAGTATTCCTGGGACCAACAACTTGAAGGAGAAATACTACGCAGATGGCAATGTTGGAAGGAAAGTCTTCATCTTCTGAGTAAAATAACGATTCCAAGATGCTATTATACCAATCCTCAGCACGAAGAAAGTACCCTGGAACTACTTAATTTCAATGACGCATCAAAAGTAGGATATGGATCCGTTGCGTACCTTCGTATCAGTTATCCAGACGGAAAGATAGAGTGCTCGTTCGTCGCTGGAAAGGCGCAAAACGCACCAGTAAGGACCGTTACCATCCCGAGGCTCAAACTGCAGGCAGCCGTTTTGGCTGCACGAATGGGCAAGTCTATCAAAATAGAGCTGGAGCTTGACATTAAGAGTGTTTTTCTGGACGGACTCGATGATCACCCTTAGCTATATTAACAATCAAACGCGACACTTTCAAACCTACGTTTCGAATCGAATCGCAGAAATCCACGAACTAACGTCGCCTGAGCAGTGGAAACACTGCCCTGGCGCTGAAAACCCAGCTGATGACGCTAGCCGAGGATTGGAAATGCCCTTTTTTCTACAAAACGAACGATGGTTGTCTGGGCCAGCTTTCCTTTTACAGCCGGAAGAAAAATGGCCGAAGACCCAGCTACAACATGTCCCAGAAACCTCACTCGAACTGAAGAAAGAAGTATATGTCATTGAAGTTAGCCATGTGAAGTCCTTGGATGAACTTATCAACAGTACCTCACGATGGCTGAAATGTTTACGGAAGATCGCATGGCTCCAGAAGTTTGTTTAAATGGATCGAAGGCAAGAAAAGGAAATCTCAGTCACGAGACGTAAAACGGATCACATTAAAAGACCTCGAAGATGCGAGACGTAAAGTCATCAAGCTCGTTCAAAGGCAAGCCTTTAAGGAAGAAATAACGAGGTTAGTAAAGGGTCTGACGATCAAGAACAGTAGGCTGGCAAGTTTAAAACCGATCCTAGACGAAGAAGCCATCATACAAGTCAGGGGAAGAATATCAAAGGCACCAATTTCCCGAGATGCCGCAAACCCAATGATATTGCCAAGGAAGCACCATGTGACTGAGATCTATATTTGTTTTTTGCACAAACAGAACGGTCATTGTGGGCATGAACAAGTTCTGGCGCTATCAAGAGAATTCTGTTGGATCCTGAAAGCATGTGCGGCGGTAAGAGAAATTTTAAACGGATGTATCAAATGCAAACGACGAACTGTAATAAGACAGGACCAAGAGATGGCCGAACTGCCTAAGGGGGTCGACCAGCCTTTACCTATTCAGGAGTGGACTACTTTGGCCCCTTTTTTGTTAAGCGTGGAAGAGGAAAAACAACCGAAAAACAATGGGGAGTGATATTCACCTGCATGAACAGCAGAGCAGTTCATCTAGAAGTAGCGAGGTCGCTAGAAGCCGACGATTTCAAGCTATCCAGCAGCTGGACGAAACGAAGATTAATAAACGAGTTATCAAAGAGAGGATGTAAATGGGTTTTTCATCCACTGGGAAAGACTGGTTCGAACTGTGAAAAGAAGCTTGAAAGCTATAGTCGGGAAAGATCTAGTAAACGAGGAAGTTCTGCAGACGGTTTTCACTGAAGCTGAACGTATTGCAAACGCACGACCGCTCACCCGGAATCCACTAAGCGCAAACGACGATGAACCCCTTACGCCAAACGTTCGTCCAGCGATTTACCTACCCCCCGAGATTATTTCCGAGAATGACAAATATAGTAAGAAGAAATGGGAACGAGCGCAACTACTTGCAAATCATTATTGGAAAAGATGGCTGCAAGAATATATACCAACATTACAAGAAAGAAAGAAATGGAATGAGCCCAAGAGAAATTTGCAAGTTGATGACCTGGTACTTACTGCGGATGATAATGTACCCAGCAATACGTGGCCAATGGGAAGGATCGTAGACGTATTCCCAGGTCCGGATGGACGAGTAAGGACAATTGACTTAAGATCAAAAAACTCGGTATACAGACGTCCGGTCGCGAAAGTTTGCTTACTAGAAGCTGCTGGTAATCAAGATATGTAAAAGGACAGTCGTTGAAACGTGGTGAAAATTAGAATCGGTTTACGATGAACTACATCTACAACAGATCGTTCATGGGGGGCGGGATGTTATCACCACGATGTATCCTTTTCAGAGTTAATTATTGACGTTATAGTGAACTGTATAGATTAGAGTGATTGACAGCTACGCTGGGGGTAATAAGAGAGAAAGCGTGAGATATGATTTTGATATTTTGTTGGAGAGGTAACATAGAACAAAGAACATGTTAATATAAAGAGTTTAATAAGAACATATTGATTGTTATAAAGCTGCAAGGTCATGTAAGTAGATCATAGAAATATTGTTATTGTTATAGTGGATTGATAGTAGCATTCTATCGCATATATTTTATCGCATTCTATCGCATGTACCTTGAAATAGCGCCTGGAAAATAGTCTGAATAAAATAAAGAGAAACCAATCGATCATATATGGTGATATCTAGCCTTGTAGCTATTTTAGAACTGAAATAAATCACGAAACTGAAAGAATATAACAGACCTTATTATGTAATTCAGAGTCAACAGGGAACAGAAAATTGTTGGAAAAAATACTAGAAAATCAAGAAAAGATTTTAGAGCAGAACAAACAACTAGTTGAGGAGAACAATAATAATGGAAGGGGGAAAATCCATATCAGCCCTGAGATACGTGTAAGTTGAATAATTAATACTACTAATAGGACTGTTGTGTTAGTATAGGTAATAGTATGGTTTAACAATGGACTGCATTATTGAAGGTTTGCCTGAACTCAATTAATTTCTCAAAGCTTCTGCATATTTGGAGAATATTTCACAACTTTTTTTAAGTTCCTGTGAAAGGAGTGCTAAGCAGGGGCTCTGGGGCTCCTATAACTTTTTTCAAAAGTAGAAAAAGACTGAAAACTGTAGAGCCTAAGTACCTAGTCTGAGCGGCAATTAAAAGGCTAACGTTTTGTGCCTTTCAGTTTCATGTGTTTGAGGGGTCTAAGGGTATCCTCCATTAAATTTTTTTTAAATTTGTGGTCTCTGAAATGTCATTTGCTAGACTTTGGGAAAAGGGGCTGTCTGCCTGCCCCCACTTGGCAGCCCTGATCAATAACAGTTGACAAATAATAATGGGTTTGTAGTTTAGTATTCCAATGCATTTTCGTGTACATTGCATGTAGATACTGTGCTTTCACTTGTTGCATGTTTCAGAAAAAGTTAGTTAATTGTCCTCAAAGCAGTATTTTTTATTTAATTGTTTCTCTCGTTATTATGATATTATAATTAATTTGGTTTAGTGCCAAAATTAATAGTATCTTATGATTTATATCAGAGGTCAAGAAAACAACTCGATCTTTACTGCATTATCATTATATGTTGTTGGGGGCCACAGTAATTGTCTTGTGCTGTTGTGGATTCCTGCCATGTACAATTTTTTTTATTTGTGCACGAGCTATGCTATTAAATTTTATTGAATTATATAGTGGCTGTAGAAAGATACTACAGGAGTCTTTATGAAAAACACCTCCGAATAAAAAATGATAAAAATGAAGAGCATAAGGCAAGGCAAAGAAGTTACGAACATCGAAAATGTGTAAGTTGTTATTTGCACAGATAATTTATAGCTGTTGAGGGAAGGAGGACAGGGGCAACTTGATGTATAACAGTAAGTAGTAATATGTTTTTTGTCTGTTTTAAGAAATTGAAAGCTCGCTTGACTATTTTGGAGAAAACCAGCCAACTCAGCAGTGAGCAGAAATCTAAATTCAGGAATGTTCTTACGATTGACTACATGTCGTCCGAATACTCAGCAACTGATCATGATGATGATAGCACGCAGTTATTTGTTGTCTCAAAGTTAGAGTGGCGTTCAGACAAAGTAAATAGAATGTTCTCGGCTTTAGATGAGAAGCACAAATCTCGATTGTCCAGATCTTCGAAACGTATGATGGTTACCAGAGCAGTTGCAGAAAAGTTTTCTTCGCGAGGGCCTCCACCTAAGTTCCCATCATTTGCTGTAAAATAATGATGCATGACGCGCAATAGCAGATACTTTTGGCATGTCCTTGGAACTGTTCATGTTATAATTAACTGTTATGACTTTAAATATTCCGCTACTTTCAGTTATAGTTCTAAAAATAAAGCGCTGCCAAAAGATGACTGAATGTTTATTTTTATAGTTTGAAAGAGTTGAGACAGCTGGATACTCGAACTCTATATGTTTCAAAAAGAAAATAAAATAGTTTTCCCATTCCATGTTAGTTTAAAAGCAAAAGTTTTGTGCGAATTTGATTTTTGATTTAGGGTAATAAAAGCTAAAGTTTATGTGCAGTTTAAGTACACATTTACATTAGCAGTAAATTGGGTGATTAAGTAAATTTACAGATACATAAAACGTTAAACAAAATTTAAAATTTACTACACCACATTAAATGACAGTAAACTAACCAAAATCTGAGAATTTGTGTATAATTTAGGTGTAATTTTGTGACATATTAAATTAACTTTTTCGCCCAGTGTACGTTGATAATACATTGTCAAATTTTAAAGCGAAGGTGTTTGAAGGTCAGTACATTAAAGTTTGTGTATTTTTGTGACATTTGCTATTTTAATCGCTCGTTTTTCTACTGTGGTCGAGGAATTTCGATCACAATCGGATTATTACAGCGTACATATTCACTTGGAAATTTTTTGTAGGGTACATTGCATACCTAAACATGTTGGGACACTTGTGATTTGTCGATACTCAAAACAACTACCATCAAGCAAATGTACCCGACTAACCGCATTGTTATACAAACACTGCACTGGCCTTTTATATATGGAACATAATGATGATCTTCAAACTCAAACT